GAGAGGAAGGGAGAGGGAGAGATAGAAACATGAATGATGAGAGGGAATCATTGATCAGCTGCCTCCTGTACGCCCCCTACTGGGGACGGAGCCCACAACCCGGGCATGTGCCCTTGACCGGAATCAAACCCGGGACCCTTGAGTCTGCAGGCCGACACTCTATCCACTGAGCCAAACTGGCCAGGGCGCAATCTTGGTTTTAGATCCTTGCTTTCCATTACCTTTAGTACTTCATGCCATTCCCTTCTGCCTGTAGAGTTTCTGATGAGAAATCAGATGACAGCCTTATGGGAGCTCCTTTGTAGGTAACAGTTTGCTTTTCTCTTGCTGCCTTTAAGATTCTCTCTTTTGCCCTAGCTGGTTTGGCTCCGTGGATAAAGCATTGGCCTGAGGACTGAAAGGTTCCAGGTTCAATTCCAGTCAAGGGCACATGCCTGGGTTGCAGGCTCAATCCCCCGTTGGGGGCGTGCAGAAGGCAGCCAATCAATGATTCTCTCATCATTGCTGTTTCTATCTCTCTCCCCCTCTCCCTCTCTGAAATCACTAAAAATATATTTTAAAAAAAATTCTCTCTTTTGTCTTTAAATTTTGGCATTTTAATTATGATATGTCTGGGCGTGGGACTGTTTGGGTTCTTCTTGCTTGGCACTTTGTGCCTCCTGAACTTGTCTGACTTTTTCCTTCATCAGGTCAAGGGAGTTTTCTGCCATTATTTCTTCAAACATGTTCTCTAGCCCTTGCTCCTTTCTTCCCCTTCTAGCACACCTATTATGCAAATATTACATTTCATGTTGTCTCACAGCTCCCTTAAGCTGTCCTCCTGTTTTTTATTTTTATTTTTAGTCTGTAATTTAGTGAATTTTTTTCTACCCTGTTTTCTAATTCACTGATCCAATCCTCAACTTCCCCTAATCTGCTGTGTATTTCTTCCAATGTATTTTTTTAATTAATTAGTTAATTATTATCCTCTCTGAGGATATTTTTGCATTGATTTTTAGAGAGAAGAGTGGAAGGGAGGGGGAGAGAGAGAGAAACATTGATGTAAGAGAAACATCAATTAGTTACCTCCTACACATGTCCCAACCAGGGCTGGGTATTGAGCCTGCAACTGAGGTATGTGCCCTTGACCAAAATCAAACCAGGGACCCTTCAGTCTGCAGACCGATGCTCTATCCACTAAGCCAAACAGGCTAGGGGCCAATGTGTTCTTTTTTAGTGCTATGTCATTCTTTATTTCCGACTGTTCTTTTTTCAAAGTTACTATATCTTTTCTCATGCTGTTGAGCATTTTTACCATCATTAGGCTGAACTGTATAACAGATAAACTTCTTATCTCCATTTCATTTATCTCCTCTTCTGGAGAAATCTCTTGCTCTTTCATTTGGGGGTTGTTTTTTTTGTCTGCCTGTTTTGGTGTGTGTCTTTGTATTAGGTGGATCTGCTATGCCTCTCAATCTCTAGTGCAGGACAGTGTCAGACGCTGTTTCTAATTGGCCATGAGTACCCTCTTTGGGGCTTTCAGCAATACACAGCTTGTGGCTCCCTCTGCTGGGGTTGCATGCCTTTGGAAAGGATCAAGGTGTGCACCAGGATCTGCTTTTTCTAGCCCCCAGCCCAGAATCAGGCAAAGAAAGATGTCCTCTGCAGCGTGAGGGAATGATTCAGCACAGGAAACTGGGGTGGCTGCCCTCTGAGCTCCAAACCCAGAGCCCCCAACCCTGGACTCTCCTCACACAGCTCCAGTTAACTCTGCCCTCCCACTGCTGGAGCCCAAGGTGAGTGGCTGCACAGGAAATTTTGTGTGTTGGCCCTTTAAGAGGGTGCCTGTATTTCTAGCCGTCTCTGGCTGGCAGACAGCAACCCTACTGCTTTTCACAGCCAGTTACTCTGTGTGCACCTTTCTCAGTTCTGGTGCTCTGGGCTCAGGTGCCCAGCTTGGGATTTAGATCCCAGAACTCTCATTGGGGACCCCCACAGCTAAGATATCCCTCTGGACCTTCAGCTGCTGTCTGTGGGAGTCCAGCCACCCCTTTTGCGTCTTCGCACTTCCTACCAGTCTCTATGCGGTCTCCACTTTCCGTCCTTGGTTATCAGAGTTCTCTCCAGCTAGTCTTCAGTTGACTTTTCAGGGTGTTTTTTTTTGTTTGTTTGTTTGTTTTAATCTATTTTAGTTGTAATTCCAGTTTGGCCCTGGGAGAGTCAGTGTAGCTTCCACTTAGTCTGCAGCGATTTTTTAATCTTCCCCAGTTCTATGAATTTTAACTCATTTTTTATGTAGCCACCACCACAATCAGGATACATAAATATTCCATCAGTAGCTCTTTCTGCCTTTTTGAAGAGGAAGCCACACTGACTCTTTGAACACACAATTCTAAAGAGTAAAGGATTTTAATCTTGTCTTATTGATTATTTTTATGTAACCATTTGTTGCAGGATAGAAACAACCCGGGCACTACAGTTCAAGAGCAAAGAGTTAAAGTGAATAAGGGAGAATGTCAGGTAGAGAAACACCTCCCGAAGGTATGAAAAGGAAGCCATTCTGTCTAAAATTAAAAAGATTGACAATACCAAGTGCTGACAAGGGCAACTCTTATACATTGTTGATGAGAATGCAAATGGCACAATCAGGCTGAAAAAAAAACTATTAGGGTTTTTTTTTCATATGATCCAAGAATTCCACTCCCAGGGATTTTCTCATAAGAAAAGAAAACATGTGTCCACATAGATAAGCACTTGTGCATGAATGTTTATAGCAGTTTTATTCATAATCACCCCAAACTGGAAACAACCCAAATGTCCATCATGGTGAGTGGATAAACAGACTGGTTTATCTGTTCGTTGGAATACTACTCAGCAATAAAAAGGAGTGACTACTGACTGATACATGCAACAATGTGGATGAATCATGCAGACATTACCGTGAAGGAAAGAAGACAGGAGGCATACACTATATTTGTCAGGTCCAATCAGGAGCCTGAAACCCACACAGTAGTTTGAAGAGAGAAGGCTAAATACACATTATGCGTTATAGCAGGGGATTGGAGTAAGAGGGATTGGCTACTAAGAAATAAAGAGACTGCTAAAGAATATAGAAACAGCAGATAGGAGGAGCAGTCGCTAACCCTAAGATCTAAGATAGAGAACTCGATGACATCCCAGGGACCCTGATCTCATGGGAAGACCCTTGGCCTTGACTCACTAAAGGGCAAAGGAGTCTCTATGGTGCTGCACTTGTGGAACCTGCTGGAATCCACCCTCTGGAACTTACCAGAAGTCAGTTCTCCAGGGCACTAGAAAAAACAGTTTACAAAGAAGTGTCTCACCAGAGGCACTCGGCTAGGAAACTGCCTGAGGTGGGTGCCTGAGGAAGGTGCTGGCTGCCAGCCACTGGAGAAGCAGGCACACTGTGGGATTGGGCTGGGGAAGCTGCCTGCCCTGGGGAACCGTGTCTGGAAGTTAGAAACAAAGCACTTTCCTCTTGCAACATCTCCCTGGCTCCCTCTACTGGAAAAAGTTAACATTACGTCAGTCTGCAAAGGAAAAAGATTGAAAAGGCCAAACTGCAGTTTAGCAACTTGCAACTGTGAGGCCGTAAGTCGATAACTGGCACACCATCTGATTCCATTTATGTGAAATTCTAGAAAAGAAAATGGAATTTATAGTGACAGAAAGCAGATTGGTAGTTGCCTTGGAGTTGATGGTGAAGGGGCAGTCCTTTTGGAGTGACAAATGCCTGCACCTTGGTTGTGGTGATGGTCACAAGCTTGTATACAGTTATTAAAACTCAAATTTATACACTTCAAAGGTGTGCATTTTACTGGGTGTAAATTATACACCAATAAAGGTAATTTTTTTTAAGGTACCCATTCTGTAAACAGGACTCCAGTGCAAATATATATGGAAAGACATGCACATGTGCACACACAGCAGAAATGCACCCCAAATCCCACCACTAAGTTACCCCAACTTGCACTGGTGAATGTGTCTCCAGGGGTATTGCTGGACATTGCCTTGGTGGCTTGCTCACTTATTCTCCCTCAGGAGTTCAAGTTCAACATGAGTGAACTTGACAGAGTTTAGGTACTGACTTCCCTCTCCCATTTTCCCTGTCCCCATGGTGAATCCATGGAGGGCATCTCACCCTAGGTTACTATTTTGTTGTTGTTGTTCTTAATCCTCACCCAAGGATATTTTTCCATTGACTTTTAGGGAGAGTGGAAGAGAGGGAAAGAGAGAGAGAGAAACATCAATGTGAGAGAAACACATCGATTAGTTGCCTCCTGCACGAGCCCTGACCAGGGCCCGGACTGGGGAGGAACTTGCAACCAAGGCACGTGCCCTTGACCAGAATTGAATCTGCGACCCTTTGGTCCGCAGGCCAACACTATCCACTGAGCTAAACTGGCTAGGGCAGTTCCTAATTATTTTAGATGATCAAATCCTCAAATTAAGAGCTAAAACTTATTCATTGTTTTATTACCATTGGGTTTTACTCCTTGAGTCCTGGGCAGGTTTAGACACATTTGCCCTTCACTGCTCCTATCAACCCTTTGAGGTAGAGCAATAGTTATTCCTGTATTACAGACAAGACTTGGAGGTCAGCAGCATACCTACCTGAGAGACAACCTGTCCAGGAAGAGGCAGAACTGGGACTTGAACCCACATCATCTGCGTCCATAGTGGGAGCTTCTGACACCACCTATCCTGCTGGGGCAGTAACCCAGGTCCTAGAAACCCTCAGATGCTGCCTGCCCTCTGCAGAAGGGTCCTAATAGGCTTTAGAACATTGAATCTTTGCCAGTTGGATCTTTTAACCCCCATGATTTTATTATGAAAATTGTCAAGCATACAGAAAGTTGAAATAATTATACAGTGAACAAACACTCCTAAGGAAGGGGAGACAATGATAATGCCAGTATTTTTTAGCCTAATACATATAACTATTCATAGTAACAGTTTTTTTAGTCTTCCAAATTTATAAAGCAAAATAAAAAGTGAAATGACATTTTAAGTACTAAAGTGTATAAATACCACATCAAGTAAAAACATTGATAAATATCTGAGTTACATATAAGTTATTCTATAACAGCTGATCAAATTAATAAAATACTAAAAAATTAATTGAAATAAAATTGCAAAAATTAATAAAAATCAAGTGAAAGCAGTCCTGTAAAATGAAAGTTTAATGAATTATGAGCCTTGAAAATTAAATTGTATTATTTGATCTTTGTCAAAAGTGTATACTCTGGGAAAAGTATCGTCTAGCTCAGTGGTTCTCAACCTTCCTAATGCCGCAACCCTTTAATACAGTTCCTCACGTTGTGGTGACCCCCAATTTCATTGTTACAAATTCAACATAATTAAAGCATAGTGATTAATCACAAAAACAATATGTAATTATATATGTGTTTTCCGATGGTCTTAGGCGACCCCTGTGAAAGGGTCGTTCGACCCCGAAAGGGGTCGCGACCCACAGGTTGAGAACCGATGAGAGACCAGGTGGAGGTGGAAAAATGTAGTCCCCTACCCCAGGCCTTAGACAAAGGACTGAGTAAGCCTCAGGTGACACAGCCCCAGGCTCTGCCTGAGGGCAACTGCATGCAGCCCTTAGACCAGGGGTGGGCAAACTTTTTGACTTGAGGGCCACAGTGGGTTCTTAAACTGGACCGGAGGGCCGGAACAAAAGCATGGATGGAGTGTTTGTGTGAACTAATATAAATTCAAAGTAAACATCATTACATAAAAGGGTACGGTCTTTTTTTTTTTTAGTTTTATTCATTTCAAACGGGCCGGATCCGGCCCGCGGGCCGTAGTATGCCCACGGCTGCCTTAGAACCTTAGCTGAGCCCAGTCAATCCCCAGAGCCTTAAAAAAAAATGGCTATTGTGAGTATCACCGCCAGCAAAGAAACAAACCATATCGATGGTGTCTTCACTGAGTCTTGGGTTATTTTTGTGCACAATTTTCCAGTCACCATAAAAAGGTCTCTGGCCCTACACAATTTGAGGAACTGCTGAGAAGAGAAATAAGGGAACTCTAAGTAGTTTACACCAGTTTCTTTTTTATTTGATAACTTTGGGGGAGAGGCTTTTGGACATCTTTTGTTCCTTTCCATGGACTATCTCATTATCATTCTTAGTAAACTTTTATAGAAAGTGCACAAATGTACAGTCTGATGAATTTTTATAAATGAACACACACACATAGCCAGCCCCCTAATTGTACCTCTGCCCAGTTTGAAACTTGAATGGTGCCTGAAATGCTCTTTTTTTTTTTTGCTTGCTTTTTGTTAATCCTCACCTGGGGGTATTTTTCCCGTTGATTTTTAGAGAGAGTGGAAGGGAGGGGGAGGGACAGAGAGAAACAATGTGAGAGAGACACATCGATTGGTTGTCTCCCACACATGCCTGGACCAGGGCCAGGGATCGAGCCCTTGACTGGAATCAAACCCAGGACCCTTCAGTCCTCAGGCTGACACTCTATCCACTGACACATGCTACAACCTGGATGGACCTTGAGGACATCATGCTAAAAGAAATAGGCCCCTTACAAAAGAACAATTTGCCGAAGCCGGTTTGGCTCAGTGGATAGAGCGTCGGCCTGCGGACTGAGGGGTCCTCTCTGTAAAAAATCAATAAAATATATTAAAAAAAAAAAAAAACAAACAAAAGAACAATTACTGTATGATTCGTCTTATAGTTAACAGGGGGCAAAAGGGAAGGGGTAATGGGGAGTTACAGTTTCAAAAGATGAAAAGAATTCTGGAGATGGATGATGATGATGGTAGCACACATTGTAAATGAATTTAATACCACTGAACTGTTAAAGATGGTCAAGATGGTAAATTTTATGTTATGTGAACTTTACAAATTTTTTTTTTTAATTTCAGAGAGAGAGGGAGAGAGAAACATCAATGATGAGAATCATTGATCAGCTGCCTCCTGCACGCCCCGCTCTGGGGATCCAGCCTGCAACCCAGGCATGTTCCCTGACTGGGAATCGAACTGTGTGACCTTCTGGTTCAGTGCACAATCACTGAGCCACACCAGCCAGGCTACCACAATTTTTTTAATGGAGGGGGAAAAAGATAGAATTAGCCCCCGTGACTGGTGTGGCTCAGTTGGTTGAGCGTCATCAGTGCACCAAGAGATTGTGGATTCAATTCCTGGGTCAGGGTAAATGCCCAAGTTGGGCTTGATCCCCAGTAGGGGGTGTGCAGGAGTCAGCCAATTGATGTTTATCTCTCATCATCTTCCTCTCTCTAAAATCAATAAAAGCATATTTAAAAACAAGGAAGTTCCATGGAACAGGCAACAAGTAAAAACAATAAAAAAGATTTCTGACTATAACAAAAACAAAAACATGCTATTCTTGAATTACATTTACCAGGCTCTAAGGAGGTTTTGGTTTTGTTTTTCTTGCCCCAAATCACAAAGATGGGAAGTGGATAGAGTCAGGATTTGAACCCAGTTTGGTGCATGTCTACAGTCGGGCACTCTCTGTTTCTTTTCTTTTTTTAAAATATATTTTACTGATTTTTTACAGAGAGGAGGGGAGAGGGATAGAGAGTTAGAAACATCGATGAGAGAGAAACATCAATCAGCTGCCTCCTGCACGCTCCCCACTGGGGAGCTGCCCTTGACCAAGGTACATGCCCTTGACTGGAATCGAACCTGGGACCCCTCAGTCCCCAGGCTGACGCTCTATCCACTGAGCCAAACCAGTTAGGGCCACTCTCTGTTTCTTACTGGGGACTCCTGGCATTGGGGGCAGTCCAGCCCTTTGTGGGAGTACTCGTCCCATGCAGCGCAGGTTACTGTGCATTATTCCAGTGACATTAATTTGTTAATCTTCACTCGAGGACATTTTTTCCATTGATTTTTAGAGAGAGTGGAAGGGAGGGAAGGACGGGGGCAGAGAGAGAGAAACATCAATTGGTTGCCTCCCACACATACCCAACCAGGGCAGGGATCAAACCTGCAACCCGGGCACCTGACCTTGAAGGAGAATCGAACCTGTGACCCTTCGGTGTGCAGGCCGATGCTCTAACCTCTAAGCACCAGCCAGGGCTATTTTTAAGTATGGTGAGTTGACTTGGCTCAGCTAAGCAGTTCTCAGGGGCAGTTGCCATCAGACAGTGATTGGAGCTGGGTCATCTGAAAACTTAGTCCTGTATCTAACACCTGGGATGGGAAGTCAACTATCTGAGACTCCAGACACTTCCCTCTCTTCACATGGTCTCTCCAGTATGGTGACTTCAGGGCAACCAATCGTAAGTGGTGACCCAGGCAGTGGTACGCTGGAGCAGCTCGCACCGGCTCGTGGATTTTAGGCAACTCTTCCTGCCCTCACGGGTCAGGGACTTCACGTTGGCAGTTTGCAGTAAGCCGTGGTCAGTTGTATTTATCCCGCAGAAACCAGCAAACTTACAAACTTAGACTTCTTTTCCCCCTTAGAGAGCCAGTTAACCCTTTGCGGTCGTATTAAATTTGGACATGGGTGTCGTACTGGTCGGAATTAATTTCCATTGAAAGCAGTGATACATAACATGCAAGATTATGAAGGAAAAACAAGATTTATTAATTCTTTTTTGGAACTACGTCACTACTAGTAGAATCACTACAAACGTTATCACTTTCTACGTCAGAGTCAGTATTCAAGGTGCCAAAATAAAACTCTTCATCGTTACTTTCAGATTCGCAGTACCCTTCTTTCGGTAACTTTCTTTTTGCCATTTTGGAGTACTATTTTGAAATATCTTAACAAGCGAGAATGCCTTATTACAGTTAAACGTAATTTGTAAAGCTTTATTTGAAATTCTGCGAAGTATCTCCAAAGCTTGTCGATTTCTTCACTCTCAAAAGGCGACTGACTCGCCACGGTGTTTTGCATGGCGAGTGTGGAACGACCGCGTTTGTTTATATTGAGTTTCGATATCTCCGATTTGTCGGGGCAATGTTTTGGTTCGTGACAAGGTCGCTTAGACACTTAAGAGCTTTCAGAGAAATTATGAACTGATACATGAATGAATAGAGTTAAGATTCGTACGGTTCCTTGCTGTGGTGGCTGAGAGTAGACAAACGACCGCAAAGGGTTAACTATTTAGCAGCACACGGCTGCACTCAAGCCCCCAGGCGCATGTCCTGAGAGTCAGGCAGAGGCAGTATCTTCTGTCAGGATGGCTCAAAAACCCCTTAGCAATGTCATTTCTGTGGTCACCAAGGCCTGCCCAAGTCAAGGGGAGGGGTGTGGACTCCACTTATGACTGGAGAATGGTCAAGTCCAGGAAGAGCATGTTAGGTAGGGTGTGTTGTTATAGCCATTTGGGGAAGATACGGTCTGCCATGGAGTTGTGGGTCTCTGGAAACAATACAGTGGCATCTCCCAGTCACTGTGACAACGAATAAAATAACCTCCCCAGCCCCGAACATGCCCCCAAACACCAGGCAGCAGGCGGTGCTGTGCCTTATGTGCCCCATTTGACCCAGCCAGTGGTTGGCATCAGCCGAATGGATATGGTGGCTCTCAGCAGAGCATCCCAAACAAGAGTTTGTGGACCCAGGCTCATTGGTACGGCACTTGAAGGTCCTGCTCCTGCCCTCCTGTGAGGGGCTGCCCCCAGCTCTGGAACCCTCCGGTTGCTCAGCGATGCACATTCCTAAGGAACACCCAGCGGGGAGCAGCTGCACTCTGGTGAATTTCACATCTGGCAGGCAAGCTGGTGGACTTGCTTGTAAATTGCAGCTAATTCTTAATGCAGCTAAAGACCACCTGGAGCAAAGCACACGCTCACTCAAGCCTGTCCCCACGACTGAGTACTGTAGGGGGTCAAGAGGTGTCAGGCTTCTTGCCATGTCCACAGACCACTTGCCTGAGACAGGCTTACTTCTTAAAAGATCTTAATCATTTTATTTAAAAATTCTGACAGCTGACAGGAATCAAGCACGTACTGGCATTAGGTAACAGAACAAGCATTAGATCATCGCAGCCTCCTACCCCAGGGCAACCTCCAAGGATCGTTTTGGCCATTAAAACAAGATGATGGGACTCAGTGAGATGATCCAGCTTAAATGTCACAGCGGCTTAATAAGGGCCCAATAAATGTCACCAGATGAAAATATCGTCACTAAATGGTTGCTCATCATCTTTTTACGATGTGTAATAACAATCGTAGCTAACATAATTTAGTGCTTAACATTAAATTATCACTTATTTATGAGGCCCCAGTGGTTTTACCTAAGCATTTTACAAATATTACCCCATTCCCCATTTTGTTATCACTACAACCCTAAGAAGTAGGTGCTATTAACATCCCCATTTTCAAAAGAGGAAACTGAGGCACATGGAGATTAAGTGAAGTACCCTTGGTCATGCAACTAACAGGAAGCATAGCTGGGACTCAAACCCAGACACAAGGCTTTTTTATTATTGATTTGAGAGATACAGCGGGAGAGAGGGAGAAACGTTGAATTGTTCCATTTGTTTATGCATTAATTGGATGTGCCTTGATGGGATCGAACCCACAACCTTGGTGTATCAGAATGATGCTCAAACCAACTGAGCTACCTGACCAGTGCCAGGCGCAAGGCCTTTATTATTAGACTGTTCTGTCCCTGATGGGGAAGTGAAATGACTTTCTGACTATGTCTTCAGCTAATCACTAAATTCCTGTTAAATAAAGGTGTTTCACCTCACTGTGCCTCAGTTTCCTCATCTGTGTAGTGGGTTATTAATATGATTCATTCATGCATTTAATATCTCTTTATTGAACATGTATTATGTGTTAGGCACTGGTGTGGACACTGTGGTATGCAGTATGCAAAGGAATCAGCAGTTCTGCCTTCATAGTGACTACAGTATCTACAGAGGGAGACAGACAAGGAAGGTAATTAAGTAAATTATATATACTTAAGTGTGGAGTGTGTTAGAAGGTGATAAGAGCTTGAGAGAAGTATAAAGTAAGGAAAAGGGGAGGGAGAGTAGGTGATGGTCATGAGGCTCTGAAATTATAAATAAGGTGGACAGAAAGGTCTCATGGAGAAATTGCCATTTGAGCACAAACTTGAAATAAGTACAGAGGTGAGCAAATATCCTCTAGATCCATTTAGAGCAGCGGTTCTCAACCTGTGGGTCGCCACCCCTTTGGGGGTCAACAACCCTTTCGCAGGGTTCACCTAAGACCATTGGAAAACACATATATCATTACATATTGTTTTTGTGATTAATCACTATGCTTTAATTATGTTCAATTTGTAACAATGAAAATACATCCTGCATATCAGATATTTACATTACAATTCATAACAGTAGCAAAATTATAGTTATGAAGTAGCAACAAAAATAATTTTATGGTTGAGGGTCACCACAACATGAGGAACTGTATGAAAGGGTCACGGCATTAGGAAGGTTGAGAACCACTGATTTAGAGGAAACAGCCCATGCAAAGACCCTGAGGTGTGAAGGCTGGTATGGCTGAGCAGTGAGTGAGGGCCCGATGAGGGCAGGGCGGGTAGGCAGGCAGATCATATGGAGCCTTGTGGGCCACCGGGGGGACTTTGCCTTTATCTGAGTGAGATGGAGCCACTGGAGGGATCTGAGCATGTATTCTCGCCTGACCTGGCTGCTTGGGGAAAGAAGCAGGGAGAGAGATGGTCCAGGTGAGCAGTGATGAGAATGGATGAAATCTCCAAGGGAGTGAGTGCTAATGGAGAGCAGAGGAGATTCAAGGGCAGAACCTTGACTTTGCAAGATTAGAGGGAGGCTGACAAGGAACCACCAGGCAGATGGGAAGTGGCCCACCAAGTGTAGGGGGAGTAAAGAGTACTATGGGCTCAGCACCCAGGGGGTCATCAGTGACCTTGACATTTTAGGGTGGTGGAGAGTCACAAAGCCTGATTATAGAAGGTTTAAGAGAACAGGAGTAAAAAATATGGAGACAGCAAGTATAGACAATTTTTTTGAGAAGTTTTATTACAAAGAGGAGCAAATAAATGGGACCATAATTGGAAAGGATTGTAGGGTCAAGAGAGGGTTCCTTTTCAGATGAGAGAGATGACACTGTGTGGGCTGACAGGAAGGTCCAGTGCAGAGGGGGAACTGAATGAACATGCAGCAAAAAGGGACACCTAAGATCATGGCCTAGAGTGGGTAGACATACACAAGAGCAGACAATGTGGGCCCAGGGCAGGTAGGTGGTAGGTGGGGCGGTGGGGGCCTATGGAAGTTTGCTTCTCATCACTTTTTATTTCTGCAAAATAAGCAAGGAGAGAGTGAAGATGTGGAAGGAGTGATGGGATAGGAGATGGGGAGAAGGTTTGAAATAGTTATCTATAGGAAGGAAGAGTGAGTGGATAAGAGAAACATAATCTTATTGCCAGGCAGCTTTAGGGGTTTGAGGGTCAAGTTCATAGCTTTGAAGTATGACCAGCCAGTGTAGTTGTGTATTGTTCTTTAGCCACTTTAAACTGTGGATACAGGCACAGGGTAGGTGGAGGGCTAAATTTAAACAGGGTCACGTGTAAGAGGAAGCCAGAGGAGGAAGACTGTATGCAAAGAATGTTTTTTTGCTTGTTTTTTAATATATTTTTATTGATTTCAGAGAGGAAAGGAGAGGGAGAGATAGAAACATCAGTGATGAGAATCATTGACAGGCTGCCTCCTGCATGCCCCCTACTGGGGACCGAGCCCGCAACCCAGGCATGTTCCCTTGACTAGAATCGAACCTGGGCCCGTAAGTCCTCAGGCCGACACTCCTATCCACTGAGCCAAACTGGCCAGGGCTGCAAAGAATCTACACTAATAAAAGACAAACATGCAAATTGACCATACCTTCGCTATGCCTTAAGCCATGCCCACCAGCCAATCAGAGTGACTATATGCAAATTAACCCAACCAAGATGGTGGCCGG